ATAGATATATAGATACAGATAGAGTGGAAAGGTTGAAAAAGGTAACTATAGATTTATAAATCTTACAAACTAAATTTCTTTTGCAAATATGACGTCAAGTGTATTCATTTCATCCCCATCATGAAATCCCAAACCCAATCCATAGGGTAATTAAGAAAGGAAGAATTTTAGAAGTTGTTTGTATAAAGAAATGGTCAGGGTCAATGTATATCTCTAAAATATTCTATGCTTAATAAGATTTGCTATACATGTCATTCTTTCTTAGGCAGACACTTTATGTCTGTTATCATTTTAAAAACATGCCCCATACACACACTCTCTTTGCCTATATTTATGTTATTTTTCTTCCTCATCCATTTTGCCATCTTCTCATAAATCTACATAATCTCTTATTCTTAAACATAGTTGTAGAACTTCCAAACTATAGCTTTTCGCATGATAACTTCTCTCTACAACTCTCTTTTATCCATCTTTTCCTTTTTCTCTCATCTTTTTCTCTCTCTCTGTCTTTCACTCTTAATCTCTCTCTTTCTCTCTCCTTCTCTCTCAATATTGATATAACATACCACATTTTCAACAACTTTTGATTCACATTTCTCCAAAGCTCTTCAATTTACGATTACGGTAATATAAAGAGAAATACAAGCGAGTTTTCGGCGGTAACTTTTTTGCGTTTTCTTTATTCGATTTTTCGAATGCCAACAACAGTACCAAGAATAAGTGCTCAACGTACGACGAGAGTTGTTTGAAGTTGAATTAACTTTTAGTTTTATCCACATTATGTACAAACTGTACACTTCTGAGCTATAGAAATATACATAGCATATACAAAAATGACTTTAACAATGTGTAGTAAAATTGGCCAAGAGCGTGAACACTTTAATTCAGAACAATATTCTTGAATTTTCTTGAATCTCTCAAAAACATTTAAATATTAATGTTTGTGATGAGTTGTATTGGTAAAGCTAACAATAACACGATTGCTCGCAAGATATGAGCACAACGACTTACATTTTGGTCCCTCTGCATAGCAAAAATTTAAGTTACAAAGTGAATTAATTTATAAAAAAACCACATGGCTTTTCATATATTTGCCGTCCGTTAGACCTCCATCAAAATTCATTTTCTAGGAAAGAGCTTTATTGATAGCCCGTTTCTGAATGTAACAAATGAATGATGATGGAATTCTATGGAACCGACTCGATATCATACGTCACAAGAGTACGATTAAACGTATGCTTCACATCATAACTTTTTGTTTAAATAACAGAATCAAACGAAAAAAATTCTCAACTCACAAAAAATATAAAATATATCAAGAAAACTTTATATCTCAATAATTTAACACATCAGTAGTAGTAATAGTAGAAGAAGTAGTACATTTTCTACAATGTGTACTTTAAAATTTTCTTATTAAATCTTTTTTTTTTTCATTTTCTTTCTCATATTTAATAAATATAAGTAGCAAATTTGGAATACAAAAACGACTGCTACTTCCATGTCTGATCTATGTGAGTGAATAATTACGTACTGATTACGACTGGTGAGCAAGTCCAATAAAACGGTGATGAATTTCTACACGAGTTTTTGAATGAAATTGGCAAGATTCTGCCCGATATTTATAATGTCACTTTTCACAACACAGCTCCACTGATAACATTCTATAGCCTACAGAATTTGAACGTTTTGCAGAAACCGTATATTGTGTTTATATGTTTCAGATACAGCACATTTTGTGAAACTTTGTACAAAGTTTAATGATGAAGTAATGCCAAGAATAGCTCTTGGTGAATCCTGTTTTTTGTTTTCTTCGTCTTCTCCTTCCCCTGGTTTCGTATATGATTTGGGATATGGTATATTGGTGAGCGCCTGGTTTATTGGATCTTCGAATATGAATAATCATGATTAAATTGTCGATTGCAAATTACAGATAACAATAACAATCATTTAAATATTGCTGCGTGTAAAAGAACACAATAATTTAAATTCTTTTATCATAAGTCTTGTTATCTTTCCAAAAAGGCACACAACGGCTTTTTATCTCCAAAACATTGTAGACAAATGGATATGAGAGCTGCTTCAACCAGATAACCTGGTATGGCATGAAAGATTAAACGGTGCATAGAATTTGGTGGCGATAATTTTTCTTAAAAGATATTTATTTAGATCAATTAGTTCGGCGCCCTCCATTTTATTTATTAAGTCTCTCCTTCTCTCTTTCTCTCGTTGGGTATCCACCTATGAGCGGCGCTGTTCCATGGCAGTGGGTGATAGCGTTGAATACATAGCGCATGAAGAAAATAATATTGCAACATCTTCCCCCTCTTCTTGTCTCATACCTGTACATGGGAAATACAAATGAAAACATTGGTCAGTTCACGTTATCATATAAATATACAGAGAAAGAGTGGTTGCAGAGGTAAATCAAGTAAAGTAAAGTTATTGTACAACTAGTTTCAAGCAGTTACATTGGTTTTTTTAAAAACTAAATTCATTTTCTTGTCGCGGTCCCAAGATCTAATAAAACGCTCTGTCGAATGATGTGTTTTTCTCTCTCCAATATTGGGACCAAAACATGGTCTTTCTGTGGAGCTCATTAGCATATGAATGTTATGACAACAAACAAGCGTGCAGAGCGGCAAACATAGGAGGCGAGGCACGCGATTGGTCCTTACATCGCTTGCACCTGGTACCCCTAATAACCACGTGATTCAAACAGTCTCCATTCAATCGCGCCGCGAGCCATGCATCAACAATACACCGCCATTGACTTGCCCCTTTTTTCTACAATGCCTCCTTTACTATACAAGGCTTGATTTGTTCCAGGTTTATAATTTTGTATTGGTCACGGTCCAAAATAATAATAAAAAAAGTAACATGAAAACTAATACAGAAATAAGTTCCAGGTATGATTCAGGTATAATCAAATCAATTTATTATTTTCCCCTGTAGGCTTTAACGCTTGATTGTAATAATGTAGTAGTGGTGGAAGACTATTGCAGAGTGTGGCTGTGATTTGGTTAGAGTCCAAAGCCTACGTGCAGCGCGGAGTAACCTGACCTTACTCGCGTGGATGGTGACCCCTACTTATTAGACGCGAATGGTACCTCAGAAGGGTAATAAAAATGGCCTGGCGTCAAAGAACGGATATCATTCATTCTTCCTTATTTTGATGTTGTTTGAGTTTTTAATCCATTTTGTAATGTATTTACTTTCAATGCCAAAAATGTGCAAAAACAAATCAAATCGATTATTTTGCTCCTCTTACGTTTATGCTTTAGTCTACGAAAACATCACACTTTTCAACGTGCAAATCAACTCATCTAATGAATTAATTAAATTTGAGTCACTTAAGCGAACATGATTTGAGACACTTTTTTTATTTCGATTTAACTCTTTAAAAGTAAATTGAAATATATCACTTTCCCCATCATACAAATGCTTAAGTTCAATCCGAACGGTTATTATGAAACGCATAATTATAGCCAGCTAAGTAGAATAGGCTTGGTGCCGTGATAGGTCAGTCCCATCTAAACGACCTGCATTCTCTGCGTGCCGTCAAGACTTGCTCACCCTACGGCTCTTCCCTTACTATCTAAACTCCACCATGCCCTATCCATCACACTGATACCATAGACCGACTATCCGCCCATCATCTCATCTACTCAACACTGTATTGAACAGACAGCCGAGCTATAGTATGCCCATCATTACGACCAATGATTGTACAAGTTATCATACAACTATCATATCGCCCACACCAAACCTACGCATAGCTGCACCGTTCTCGCTGTACGCAGCACTATACAATAATGGCCATTGGTATATCAATAATAATTGTTGCTATATATTTCAAAAGTCAGCCAAAAGATCCGATGATTTTGTTTTGAAACTTGAACAAGTCGGATTCTGTTCTACCCTTAGATGTATTGTAGTCAATACTTTCTCGAGATAATGTTGAACGCTCATTGAGATAACAACGTCCAAACTCGACAAACTTTTCAAAACATTTACGACAGCATAAAGGCGCCGAAATGAGATAACAAAGTACATTGGTGTTATAGTAGACATCCTAATGTAACTGCTTGAACTAGTTATATTTTTATACAAAAACTCAAGTTAAAAAAAAAGCAATGTGGGTGATAAATTTGAATCAATATTAGGGGGTGGAATGTTTTTACGACTTACTCATCCAATCAAAAAATAAATAATAAAACAAGAACAAAACATAACAACTCATTTAACAAGTTCAAAAGCATGAAACAATGTCAGCATTGCTTCTGTGGTCAGCCAAGCTGAGAATTATATTGAGGTTGTATCACTGATTGATGAAGACTATGGTCTGAAACCTCGTCCATATAGCCGGTAAAACATCACAACTTAATGGAACGATATTGATTGATGCTAAGCTTAGAGATCAATGATGAAATAGAAAAGATGGCTGATAATTACCTCAGTTGCGTGTAATCCGACAGACGTCGACGTTGTCGTTCCCCTACTATCCTCGACCACAGCCCTATAAAAAGACAAAAATAAGAGAACATATGTTACCAGGATAAAGCTAATATGAATATGGTTGACTATAGTACGCAGAATATTGATTGTCGCTTCCTACTGCATGTATAGCATACTAGGATAGCATGTTTTGTTACCGCATATATTTTCTCGTCACCGTTTCGACATGCAGTTTTAATTAATCTGATCCATCCTCAAATGCTATTACAGCTCATGCATTATGCAACACATACATGTAACACAAAACCACAGTTTCATTCTAAATGTCTAACTTGGGTAAAGAATATTGTTGTTTTAGCACCGTTTTATAATAATAATTATTATTATTAGGGAGGAATGTTTACATATAAATCAAAACATAGTCACTATAATAATCTCTTACACAATACTGCCGCCCATAAAATGTACAATTCATTCCAGAATATTTTCGTTGTTTTCCAAAATGACTGAGAGGGGAATAATAAATTAAGCTACTTAGGGATAAAAACGACTTTAATCAACTTCCATTTTTATGTTATGAAGTATCAATCAATTTCACACAAGGTCCGTGAATATCAATATTTAAGAGTCACCTCAAATAAGCCTTTTCAAATTCCAATTCCCAATCTTTTCATATCTAATACCTCATGGTGGAAGCTTTATAGTATTGTTTTGTCACGATTCAAGCGACAGTGCCAATGAAGGCAATTTACAAAACACTAGTGAATTTTATGTACATGACGACTCTTTTCTCCCCACGAAGAGTTTCATTTATCCACATCACCGACAACAACCCTCAGAATGAAGATGTATTCCCTAATCGCGTTTAGTAACCTTGACTACAGAGCATCTACATGAACGCATTATCTGTCGAAATCAAACTCCCTTTTCAGTCACTCAGTTAGCGAAGTAGTACGCTGAACCCTTCTGTTTTCATCGAAAACAAGTATCATTCCTTCGAAATATACGAACTCGATTAAATGCATGCATGCTGACTGATATATATAATTCACTCCCTTTCTACATGTTGGAACTGAAAGGGATGGATATTCATAATCAATTTTCTGCACATTCGATTCTGTGGTAAAATATCCCTCCCTCAACGGTATATACATAATTATGTATGCTCTACCATCCTCCCCATCTCCCTGAAAACAAACTGAACAACCATTCTATTCGTCAATCAATATGGAAAACATGACACAATATTGTTAGATTTAGATTGTTTGCATTGTAACTACGATGTGTATATATACTTACGATATTTGTGAGATGGGGCACGTCCCTGTGTGTCTAGGCGTACTCTGAGATGAAGAACTTTGACTAGGCGTTTGCAATGAGTCTGTTCTCTTAAGTTGCACTGATTTTTCATCATAATAATAATATTCTTCAGAGTCATATCTCGGAAAAGATTGTCTTGCTTGTGGCGCATAGTTCATACTTGATGACGTTGGAATAATCATCAATTTGTTCACTGAAGGCGGCGGCCCTTCATACTCTTTAATTGAGTAATGATTTGTTTTTTTTTGTTGCAAAGCTGACGACGTATTTTGCGACGCTTTGCTATATGTGTCCTGCTCTTTGTTGCACACTTTTTCACTTATGCTCAAGAGAGGCAGTACTTTTTCCTCTTGCGAAAAATTGTCTTTATATGTGTGCCTATTCCTGTTATTTGGTGTCGATGTCGTATTTGATTCCAGGTCGTTTTGTCTTGGATCAGGGTGATGTTGTTTCCTGTACACTACAATAATCAGTATAATGACGAGCACAATGACCAATAATCCAAAAGCAACGTAGATAGCCAGCTGCATGGTATCCGATAATCCAAAGTTGGTGATGGGTGAACTGGTAGCACGGAGGTTAGGCTGTTGGGAACCACGCTGCCAGTCTGTAGAAGGCTTCGGTGTTTGCTCTTTACCAGTCGATTGCGTACATGTTGTACCTATCCATCCTTCAGCACACTCGCACATGAATCCTCCCATTACATCTTGCAGACAGGTTCCTCCATTTTCACAAGGATTGTCTCCATCACAAACAGTGAAATGATCGCTACAGTTGGGTCCGCCGAATCCGAAGGCACATTCACAACGGTAGTCATTCACCAAATCGAAGCAAACTCCACCGTTCTTGCATGGTGACGCGACGCAGTCGTTGACGTTGTTCTGGCAGTGATCACCGTTAAATCCTCGAGGACATTCACAATGGACCGAATCAGATTCCGCGCGGCAGGTACCACCGTTTTCACATCCATGTGTTGCGCAGAGGTTCTCCTCACATCGATCTCCACGGAAGCCATCTGGACATCTGCATTGGTAGGCCACGTTGTTGTTCAGGCATGTAGCTCCTGCATCAAACAAACAAAATGAAATGTACAGATTAGTCCAGTTTTTATATTAACTGTCACATTTATATTAGAATCGTCTCACTATCGCTGAGTGCATGTTGTGAAATTCTATAATTATTTCTTCCAGAAAAAGATCCCGCCCATTCATTCGATGTTTTTTATAATACATTTATGAAATAAGAAGTGTATGGTAACGTACCGTTGCGGCAAGGCGATGAAGAGCAGTGGTCACGGATCTCGCAGTGAGTGCCGGTGTAACCCTCTTGACAGGCACAACGGTAGCCATCGAATGTTTCAGAACATGTGCTGCCATTCATGCACATGTTGGAGTCACATCGAGGAACCTGCGTCTGGCATAAATCCCCAGTGTAACCACCAGGACAGAGGCACGTGTAGCCATCAGAACCACTCTGTAAAATACAAGAAAAAGAGAATAAACGTAAGTCACATGACGTTATCTAAGGGGGTTTAACTCAAACATTGTTTGAAGACCACTAACGTTACAAGCTGGACATGTTTATAGATTAAACTTTGTAATGTGGGTGTTTCCTTACCCTGCAAGTACCTCCATTGAGGCAAGGGCAAGTCTCTGCTGTCTCACAGGTGTGTCCAGTGAAGCTAGGTAGACAGTAGCATTGGAAGCCCAGGGGTCCTTCATTGCGACACGTTCCACCATTCATGCATGGATGCTGGTTGGTGCAGTAGTTCAGATCTGAATCAGGGGGAGGAGAGAATAAAAGGTTAACTTCTGCCAAGTATGACATCGAATCTTATCAACTAAACATAACTTTGTGCCTTCTTTGATGACATCAGGATAATCTTCTTATTATTTTTCTATACAAGTATATCCTTTATTGTTATTGATGTTAGATAGCTGAGATGATATCTTTTAGAAGTTCCCAGTTTAGTTATCATAATCAGGTTGAAAAATAAGGTTATAAGACTTGTTAGATTTTATAAGAATATTTACCTCTTTCGCATAGGAGTCCTCCCCAGCCTACATTGCAGACGCACTCCCCTGGTACGGTACAAGTCCCTTGCTCACAGCCAGCGTAGGTCTCGCATTGGTCACATGCTGTTCCTTTGTATCCATTATCGCACCTATCAAAGAAAAATATAATAACATTATTGATTTATCGGAATTTCATTGGGATTCTCTGCTATATGAATAATATGGTTCACATAATGCAATTTTGAACTAAATAACAGGTGACGTGTAAATCCGTAGATCGAATTATCCACGTTTAGTCTCAATTCATTAACTTTGAATGGAATTTCCACGGACCTAATAAGTGTGTATTACTTTATCATACGTGACAAGATCATCATGAACGTATGGAGGATCGAGTCGGAGTCGTTCTGCATATGCCATCGACATATCTTGGGCACTGCTAATGAAACAAGACGTGGGCATTTGAGCTCAGCACCGCTCTCCTGTATACCTTGTAATTTAATCAACGCCGCGGCTTCATCGAGACACGCGTGGCGCATAATCTTCCAAGAGGTAAAAGGCGTTTGCGTTTTGCAGATTTAATATTCATATGTTTTCAAGACACCGACCTTGTTCGCGACATGGATCAGAGTTAATGGATACCAAAAATGAGATGGAGAGAAAGAGGGAGGTTGCTACGAAGGTATAAGGAAACAGAGGCAGAGGAAGAATGGTATCGGTCGATTATAATCTACTCAGCCTAAAAGCTATCTTATCCATCACATTGTTTCGACTTTCGAGATCTTTAACGCCATCTATTAGTTATTCATAAGTGATTTCAAATAAAATGACATTATTTGTCAAGAAGAAAAAAGTATACAATAGTATTTCAACAATCACTTTAATCTTCGAGAAAAGGTTGTTTCTACATATTCTTACCTGCAGGAGTTAGGTGAGTCGCAGGAACCATGCACACATCCTTCTGAACAAACGGCTGTAAGGAAAGGGAGGATATGAGAAGAGAAAGAACGCATTAGACTTGATGAATGAAAATAAATTGCTGAATCAATGGTACATTAGCTATTCCTCAGAAAAATTGCCTAGCTAAATTTACTGCGCATGCTCTGATGGTCTAGCAGCTACCCTGGTGGTTCAATATAAGCAGTTACACAAGCCCATTGACATAGTCCTCGCTCTCCGGCTGCGCTATGTTTGTTTTCGGCTCATGTTCAACATCCCTACCTCTTTGGGGAAACCTCTAGAGAGTTCATGTTGCATCTAACCAAACACCCTTCATATCTAACATCTTTGAATTTGTCACTTTCATTGTCATCGAGTTTCTTCCTATCGCTTTCCCTCTCTTTCTTGTTTTTCTTTTTTGTTGATCGTGCTGTCTTTTGCCTTGCATTCCCTATTCCTATTCCTGAGTGTTTAGTAAAGAATCTTGTACAAACGTAAAGATTGAATCGATGGGGAAAAACCTGGCTGACCCGACCGCTTACTATGAAATCCTTCGGGCTTTCCGATACAGCGAGGGTGATAAGCTCAGCGCCATTTTACGCCGAGATGAATTGAATGTGTGAAGGAAAGAGTAGATCGAGGCACGCAATCTTAAAAGCGCTCCAAATCCCCATGCATCCTCCACAGTATCCCTTTTAAATACAGCTGGAGGGGTTGTATATGTTAATCAGAATTCGCGTCTTCTTCATCAATGAATGTACACCCACGCAAAACTGCATCAGGTATAGTTGTGATATTTCTGCCTGTGATAGTACGTTTGGCTTTGCCTTCAATGCTAGAAACACCGACCTGTTTTGTTTCCGATTTCTTTACATTGGCATACTCTATACTTTATAGGCCTGAACTTTGAAAAAATACAAAATAACATCCCGATAGCTATATGAGCAGATGGCTCTTATCCTGACGATTCCCGTAATTTTGATGGGGGTCAAACCAAAAACCGACCTTAACGATGTTTGAAGAGGAGGGAAATGAATGGAGTGGCAGGCAGTAGTTCATTATGTTAATGATATGCATAGTGGAATCGTGGTTTTTCTCAGGTCGCGTGTGCATCAAGAGCTCTAGTCGCGAGTCTGTCTCGCGTGCTCTCTGTATATCGCAGGCCATTGATCAATGCAGACAGTTCACAGATGAACCCAGGGGCGTATTGTGGCCTCCATTCAAAATTGGGTCTATACAAGAAAAAAATCTCTGGACGCGTTCGTCCGCAACCTTGCTGGCAATTAGCATCATTACCCAATCAGCCAAGATTGGTTTGAATTCTTACTCATTGGTTTCAAACAACAATCATTATTGTTTTAAAAATACATTCCCGGAAGCTTGGACTCTAAAGTACATGTAGGAATGTCCCCATAACAAAGTTAACCCTCTTTATTTCCAACTGATTCATCATGACTTACAATCAGTTGTTCTCACTCCGAGAGGAATTTAATTTGAACTAATTAGATGGTTTAATAGAATCGGTTTACTGTAAACGTTTTATTCGACGCGTCTACCATTTTCAATTCATGTTAAGTTGGCACAAAATGTTTCATACAAAAAGTCTAGTCTGCACGTGACCTTAAAATTGGCGCGCTTTCTCTAACAGACGTGTGAATCACACAATAATTCCCGCGGAGCCTTAAAATGTGAAGTTTAATAAATCTAACATTGTGTTTTCCAGCATTATGCTATTTCTAAAGAGGTTTCCATGCCACCAGAAAGAGGATTTCAATACCATCCTTGTGCCTTCTATTCACAACCTATCACACGTGAAAGGTACAATGGCACAAGACCAGGTGTTCGCTACAATTCTACAGATGCGCCCTCGGAATAAAAAATAGAAAAAAAGAGGAAGATCCATCACACCCAATGTAGGCAAGCCATTCACACAGCCATGACTTATGAAAAATAGATGGATAGAAAACAATCGATGTCTGTGTCAAAAGCCAATCCATGCAATAAAAAAGGGATATGATGAGCACTACGCCATCAGGAGGATTTTGGATAATGCGAATAAAGTGGGGGAATTTAGATGCGTCGCTGGGAGCGTGGTATATCCACGTCGGGTATTGTATGTACTCTAGATCGATAAGACTTCTCGTATTTCAACACGGACTAAAAGGAACTGATTTGAGAAATGGGTAAGAGTATATGAATGGTGATACGGACAGCCATGCATGAAAAGCATCAGACCGCCTGCATAATGCGCCCGTAATGTATACACAACTGAATAGTGCAAACATCAAAAAATTTACACGTCAATTCATTTCGATTGCGGCATAGAATTTCACTACAGTCTGTTATTTTTTATGGCGTGTGCATCACTCACTGGCTGAGCTATTATAGTAACTCAGTAAGCTTCATAACATATCGAAAGTCACATATTTGCAAGAAAATGAAATATAATTTCTTTAATGAAAAATAAATCAAAGCGTAAAAAGTTACAAAAACAATGAGTAACCTAACCACCCGTGAAACTCCTTAGCAAAATCGTTTCCCTTTTTTGTCTATGAAATGCTTTAACTTTACTTGACTCATTTTATTTGCAGAATGGAAAATTTTCTCAATTTTCACATCTTTCTCGCCATCTCGAAGTAGCGGTTTAGAACGGGGTGAAAGAATAGACTCTGGTCTAAATTGAATTTGGCAGTTGGCGGGTAGAGCTCGACTCAGCTCGTGATGGTGGAGAGGGGCGACTATGCGCGGAATCCCAGATACGATGTGCGATTTTATTTCAATCTCCCTTCACATCCTTCCAATTACCCTAGAGAAATGGCCAAGGATGGAATCCCTCCTGATAGACCACGGAGGAATATAATCTCCCCGTATAGAAAGAAGGATGTTAGATACCTAGCTCTATGATTGACTCAATTTGGAAGGCATGATTTATTTTCATTCCCAATTTGAATGGTACATATCTGGGGCATCGAATTTTCTTGGAAATTAAAAATTCTATAAAAGAAATAATGAAACGATGATCTATGTTCTGTCCCTTTGATGGACGTTAATAATTCTGGAGTAAATTGAAGTGTTATCTCTTCAGCTAGTCTGAGTCAAAACACACGGCAACGCTGCTATCTTCTTTCAAACAAATACTTATTGGCGCATCCCGTTCGGGCCTCTCGAAAATAAACCTACGATACCATTATCATTCGGTGTTATCAGTCCCGGTTGGTGTTTTGTTTTAAAACAATTTAGTGGTTATTAATCTATTTTGCTTACCATGTTCGCACCAGTTGCCTTCCCATCCGTCCATGCAGACTCTCCCACCATCTTTATCGCACAGGTAATGCCCAAAGAGGTCATCTTTCGGGATACAGGCGTCTCGACACTGGGACCCGTAGTAGGTTTCAGCGCACACCACCCTGTAGGAGTAGTCCAGCGTGTGCAACGACGTCGGGTAAGTATAGTTGGACCAGGTCGTGCTGACGTTCAACGATCTATGGATTCGCAGGGTTTCAAGGCGCCTTCGGTTTCCTGTATCATGGATGAAAGAAACGAAAACGATTAAAATGATGGTTAATTAAAACACTTTATTTGTAATATCATTATACATATTTCAACTTGGTAACCTTGTGATTTTCGTCAATCATCTTCATTTGTGAACATTATATTAATAGACATTTAATATCTGTGGTTCTAGGTATTATTATTGGACTGGGCATACATAGCTGCCCTGGATTTAAGAAGCCCTCTCCGGCTGGCATTATTCTCTCCTTCACTGGTTCATTTTGGATCGCTCGACCTAACACTCACTCGGCCCATCCAAGCGTCATTGATATCGCTTACACGTGGAGTGAATTCATGCATCAAAAAAGAAAATTAGCATGATTATTCTACCACATTATGGATTGCCATCCATCCATCTGCTCATTACTCCCAGTTCGTGGGAAACAGGTAGGTTATAGGCCTACATTTTATACTAGCGTTAAAAAGGAAGACCCTCTCCCGTTTTATTTGTTACAAAAACCACCATCCTATAGTCCATTGATGAAACAAAAGCTATTATGATTTAGATTTTTTTCACGCAAAAATACACTTATAATATTTATGGATACATAACAATCATCACGGGTTACAAATTTCCCGCGGTTAGGGGGTTCTCGTCCAAGGCCAACTATTGATGAGAGGTGTGTTTCGATCGCGTGGCTGTCGCGTGGTAGGCGTGCTACAGTGTACACCTGTCTTATTAAATGACCACCCTCCCAATAGATATAACAGTCACGTGACCTTGACCTCCACATCACCCTTTCTCCCATTTCGATCCTTAAAAATGAGCAACATTTTGGTATCAACAAACAAGGGCCAAAACGGTCATCAGTATATTTAACATCTCATTCCGACATTCATAATTCATTTTGGAGAAGGAAATGATGAAGAAAACATCGAATCTGTGTTCTATTCTTAGCCGCATCCAGAAATGTCCTTATATGCAGAGGATGTTTGGTGGAGCTGGAGCGACCAGTGAATGTATTTTCATTGCAAATAGACGGCATTCCAACACAAGCGACCCCAGTAGCACCAACCAATCATACTGGTACCAGCTGCTTCGCATTGGTCGACAAGATAACCGTAAATCTACCAGCTTTAGAATTGGACGTTTTCTTCTCACTACAGTTAATTGCCAAAATGAAACGCATACTTCCTCGCAAGATCGGTTATAGGCCGCCTGGTCTGTGTTGCTCAAATCATTTGCGTTTAGGTCCATTCTCAAATCGACGTGAAACATCAGCGAGCTAGTACTAATTTCACCGCGAGAACCATGAAACGGGTGTTCGGCGAAGTGCGCTCCCACGGTTTCATGCAAAATTTTAATTAACCAAATTTCACATCGAATTTTTCCCATGTCCTTCAATTGAGCCGTTCTTATCAACATGTAACAAAATACGATAAGAGTCTCTCTATCTATCCCACCCCCCCTCTCTCTCTCTTTATATTTCACACTTTCTAGTGAGTGGCAATGTAAGTTCAACGGGTGAAGGATATATGTGTGTGGCATACTGCAAATAATTATATCAGTTTAAAATTGTGTGGTTGGGGGCAGATGGCTCCATTCCCACGGCCCTCTCATCCAAAACAAGTTGCGTATGATAATTCAAGGCACGCGAATGAAAAATGGATTGCACTATCATAAACAACTACCCATAAAAACACAATAGATGAATTATGACCTCGTTGTTTGAAAACCTATAACAAATTAAAACGATGATCAAAATAATGAATATTTCATAACATGCTGGTACACCGTCAATGATGATTGTTATCAATCATATGAAAATATGATATAGTTACTACTACAATGAATCGACTACTAAACTAAATTATGCTTGAGGGCATCGCAATACATCATCCATGACCTTAATGTTAAAGTACTTAATCAAATATGTAGGCATATATGTCTAAATTTACACAATCACAGAAAGTCACATTGATATAATGTAGCCTACATCATCGTAGCTCAACTTCAGAATGAAGTACACGGTACAATTGCATTGGGAGTGTGCTATTGTCGTCCATTGATTAGGCGGGCTCCACGCAGTCAGCCATGCAATGATGCTAGTAGTACAGTTAGGCAAAAAAATACTAGTTGCTCCACAACCGCATGATGCATGTGTGGTGGCGATAAATCCTTCGTTCTCCAGGCCGTAGGTATTCCATGCCAATATGGCCTCAGAGATAGTCAATTGATGAATAGTTCTTTAAAGTTCATTTAGTATTCTTAAGCACCTAGTACTGTTGTGAAATAGTTCAGCAAATAGTAGGATTATACCGATTTTCTATCGGCATGCAGCAAAATGGTCTTTACTGTAACAGAGGTATATTGTTTGGAATATTTTCCCCAGTAAAATTCCAAATAAAGCCCACTTGCTGGTATCGAAGGTATCAAGAAAACACCCACATCCGGTGTTTGATTTATACAAGTCAAGACATGAAGGGGCTAGGTGCGGACCATGTGTGTCAAAACTATACCCCTCTATAATCAAAGAACTGCGGGCAGGGGGGAACATTTTATTGCTCTGCAGGCGGAAGTCATTTATGATCATCCATTATAGTCTGGACGTATAGGAGGAAGTAAAAAGAAAGGTCGATTTTGGAATGGTATAAAAGCGTAATCACGACTCGGGATGTAACATGAATCACAGAGGAGAATGGAAAATGAAAGAGCGTCCATAGTATAGTATTCCAGAGGAGATGACTCCGAGAGATGAGCTTCGAGAGATGCTAATTCGCTTTGCAAGTTGATATGTCACATCGTATTATTCCAAACATAGTCCACGCGTGTGCTCCTTCCAATTGTTACCTGATGTGAGCCCGTGTTGGTGACAATATAATAATAATCCACAATGAGCTGGAGCATGTAAGCTTGCGAGGAGGCGAGTGGAAAGAAGATGCCTAGATAACAGATGAGTGTCTCGTTATTGACATGACTTTTGAAGAATGTATCCACGGCGGGGTGTGAGCCTTTACACGCATTAACATCCATTGAATCGAAGAAGTGAAGTGAGGAAAGGGGGGGGGGGGGGTGTTGCTGGAACATAATTCTTCATTGGTGTCATGTACATGTGAAGTGATAGCGATCCGTAATTAGTATAATATAAATCCACAAGATTTGCAATGGCAGAGGCTGATGACGACGCAAGTTTTGACGGATATGTAGGGAAAATTATCTTGAAGTTTGAAGTGTTTAGAATATCTTGTCACGTCACCGTCAAAGAATGTAAATCCAGATAGACCAGGTCGTTGATACACTAAAACATTGCACCGTAGTATACATGTAATTTCTTTAAATATACCAAGTATCGTTAATATAATAATAAATACTGACATCATCATTAAATAAAAACAACATATTGATACAAATACAATAACACAATACAATAACTGTAGCCTGTATTAGAATGAGTGTAGGCCTATCCATCGTTGACTGGACTATACACCATGTGCCATTACATAGTTTGGAGTAACAACACGATTATAATAGTTAAAGCAGTAAACGTAGAAAAAAACTGACAAATTAGTTAAAAAGACTAATAAAATGCAAGAAAAATAAATAAGGAACACTAAAAACAATAAACACAAGTGAAATGTGTTGAATGTTATGACTATACAATCACTATTGTTTGGATGTGAATAGTACAGGTGCCCTTTATTGACATAATAGAGGGGTGTGTCAGAGGAATGCTTCCCATACCCCTTAAAATACACAATAATCAAAATAAATCCTCACCATCTTTGAACCCTGTGCTGCTCTCGTCATGCCAGGCATCTAGGGCGAGTGAAAAATCACGCTGTAAATTAGAGGAAAAAATGTCGTTATCACAATAAAACAATAAAATACTTGGTTGTATAAGCCATGTTACTTGATATTGGAGTTACTGATAATGACGATGTCGTTAACATTTTGAAACATAACAACACAAATCTCTTTCAACTCCTGTTGCATTATAAGCCCACTATTTATTACATAGAGTCTACCACCGAGGAGAAACTAGGGCATTATTTGAAAGGATAGTAGATAATGGTTGATGGGATGGTATTATGGAGGAGATACCCCCTTCGAAGATGAGTTCAGTTTTCATTAAAAGGGGCTACTCAACCATGGCTGCTTCCAGTACAGTTGCGGGTATTGCTCTCTCCCCCCCCCCCCCCCCCCCCTATTCACCATAAGAAACATCATGCGCATCTTATTGATTGAATTGATGAAGGCAAAATCACAGAATTTTCACACGCTCACAAACTTCAAGCTCCTTCTTACAATGTAGAAAATACACAAATAATGGAAGGGAATGAAATCATTCAATGTAAAATAAATGATCAATGTGTTGTATCACTGAAAAGGTTACTTACCGGCCAGTCGATATCAAAATCAATTTGTATTAATCCATCATGAACTTCGAAAGAATTTTCTCCCAAAACTGATGTATTCCGGAAAGCAAATGTGCATTGTCCTGGCAAGGGTTCCTCGGGAATTTCGCGAAGAAAATGGAGCAAGCACACTGTGAAATATGTTCTACATGGTCCGACACACTGATCAGTACTTGTATTATTCCCACAACATTGTCCATTGATATCCTTGGCTTGGTCGTTGGAAAAGGAGTTGAGGCGAAGTTCGAATGTCCCTGCAGCTGTTGTGACCTGTAGAAAAACACACATAAATGGAAAATATTAATATACTATTTTTGCCATTCATGAATATGCGATGCAGCTGGATCATGGATGTTCTGAACGTTCGTTCGACATGCCGTATCTCTCGGCTGAGCGTATGGCCGTTATCGGCGTTCGGTAACAGTAAACCGCTTATAGTATACTATGGTTATTGGTGGGTGAGTTCGATTGCTGAAATCGAACAAACTAAGGGTGTATAAAACATAAATTCTTACCTTGGAAATAATGCTAATCCATTGCAGAGCAAAAATCACTGTATTACTCCAGTTAAAACGCCCCATAGTTCCAAAAAACATAGCACGCCAAGAAGGCAGTGCGGCCGATCCGTTATTCCTTTCTTATCAGTCCTCTCAAGTCTGCGAGCTTTGATCAACTTAGCTTGCTCCGTTTGCTCTCTTTGTCATTTTCGGGCTCTCTCTATGCGTTTACTACGCCCCGCCCATAAGTGTGGACAAGCCGACCAATCAGAGCGCCCACACGCGTGCCTTGGTTTCGAGGATATAGAACTGAACAAATAATCACGAGAGAGGGCGGCAATCTACTTTTGTCACTGATGCCAAGTTCTCATGTTGCACAAGTATAATGTCAAATTTGACAGTACTGTGTATATACTCCAACTCAAATAAAAAATATATTCGAAATATATATCTAACTAAAATGTTGCTCATCCATACGATATAAATGTAGAAATTGATGAAAACTCGCGAAAATTACTTTATCATCGCCGAGAAGGATGCACGTGTGTATAATCCGACTGTCAGATTGTAAATCCAGGTATAATGTCGTATCACTTGTTGCGAAATGCTGGCTTCGTAAGTTCCAAGTATATCAAAAGTTTGACTGTTCGTGAGGACTGCTTTTTGTTTAATAACCCCGACTGAGCAAGACGCTCTCCTTTATATACCAGCCCTCGGCTCGTGCCAATGTTTTGCATATGCATAGGATTATGGCCCGTGGTCGCGTGGTGCTGGATTTTTTTGTGTGTGCTTTAAATCCGGATTATCTCTTGCCACGGTCCAATGTTCATCATCGATGTGCCTTCTACAAAACAAGCCGGGCCTGTTTTTTCCTCCTCACTGAGCTCTTCTTTTATGTTTGTTAACTAAAACCTTCATTTTATGGCTAATTGCATGCTGGCTTGGCAGTTTATAGGACTTTGTGTTAGCTCTAGTTTGTAAAGGATAACACATTAGTTCGCGTGCCTTCAAACTCAAGAAGCCTAAACCTTACTACCAATACAACATGTTCATTCATACGGGACAAAATTATAAAAACATCTAAAAGCTTACAGTCAAGTAACTAATGGACTCTAGAAATCGTTTTATGAATATTGAACCTGTCAGATTCCATCTTTTACCCTTTTTTATTTTTAAATTTATATTTATATTTAGTCAGCTGATGTATAATTATTTTTCATCACATTCGATAAACTTAATAATTTTCTGTGTAGAACTTGGCATAAGTTGTGGCTCTTTCTGGAAAATAGTTACAATACCGTTCAAATTCCATCAGTCTGATGTATTTCAGTTGGTTATTCTCCAACAAAGAGGAGGTATAACGGCGGCACACGTATCTCAGTGGCCAGGTCTTTATATTAGCCTTGTCCCTCATTTTTTTTCCTGTTCTGAGGCTCCCCCTCAACTTCTCCAAAGTTCTTTTGTTCAACGAGGCCCTACCCTCGTCAGCAAGTGTGCTGCTATTGTGCGGGACGCGTGCCCCCCTGTCAATAGATTGAATGGGTCCACGAGAAGGTTTTTCATCACTGGGTTCTTTCAATCTATTCAAATTGTGTGGTCAGCTGGGTCCAAGCAACTTGCCTGCACCTGCGCTTCGTTTGTTAGTCTGCTATTGTTGTTAGGGTGGTTGTCTTGCTTTTTTCCTTCATAATGCACCCGTTCGGTTGTCTGGTTTTACTATTATTTTCTTCCCAGTTCTGCAAGAGAGCCCCTGACCCGAGTGTATTCATTGACGATTGCTGCGGCCAATCAGAGAACCGTATTCACAGAGCGCGCGATAAAAGCCGGAAACCCGTACGTTTGTGAATGACTTCTTCCTGTAATGATATGCAAATACGGGCTAGCCCTGTTCCAAGCACGTGCCACTACTACAACTTACAAGGTCATTGTAGTCATAAATATACACCAAAAAGACAATTTTGAGTTTTTCATTTCTCCACACTTTACTAAACATACCAATAGATAGGGGCTGGCAGGTGAAATACTATAATATAGAAAGTCGCTATAAAAGCAAACTTTTGTATTGTATGTGACATGGAGACTAATGATGTTATTATCAGTGATCATGTAATATTAATGGTTCTTATCATCAAAATGTCTACAAGAATGTTGCTATCATATTGAAATTCTAAAGGCACACGTTTCCAAATGATTAGCAAACTCTAGAAACACCGCCAATCAAAGTTCAAAATCATGATTATTTACATAGTTATCATGCACGTGTACATGCTGCAAACATGACAGTGGATAAGCTATAACGAGACCAAGATATATTGAGGTCAACATAATAACGAGAAGATAAATATCCTGACAGCTTTTTATTAATTAATATAGAATGAAAGATATGGAGGTAGGGAACGATGATGATGTAGAAGTATAGACGGAAAGAGAGAGAGAGAGAGAGAGAGGGTGGGGAGGAGAGGGTTTATACGGTGTCCCATCATGACCTATACCACCCCTCGTTCTTGTGTGCCAAACAAGTTACGATATAATATTATATCGTGCCTTAACAGCAATGAACATGCCATTGGAATCCTTAGAGCATAATATAGAAAAGACAGTAATCATGTAAACATAAAATTACATTTACTGATTACTCAGGTGATTTTAGCCAAAGAGACCCGACTGATAGATTTTTAAAATGTTTTGGTTGATAGAGCTTATTCATAAACCAACGTAAAACATAAATTATAAACATTATAATGGGACTTTTTTACATTCTATCGCTCGCCTTCTTCATCACTACGATTTGTTATAGGTGCAATTGTCTCTATGAAGCATGCATGATAAAGACAATTTATTATGACACATCGGAAGAAACATAGTACGATCGAACAAAATATAGCACCTTTTCTGTTTCTTCATCATGTTCTGGGTGCATTCTGCAGGTGTTGTGCGAAGGTTCATCCAAGTATTTACCTCATCGTTCGGGGTTAAAAATGAAATCATTTCATCTTTCATTTTGATGTATGAATGTAAAATAAGACTTATTAAAACACTAGGGCCTACCACTACTATTATTGTAATGATACGGTGTTTCTAATGATGAACTCCCTTTTCACAAATTGCCATAATACTTTTGATGATTAATTTTCGTCTCGTCTTTGTTGGCCAAAGTGTCATATCAATTTCAATATACCTGATGCTCAACAACATCTTTCATAAAAAAAATTCTGTAATCAGTGAAAAGTTTAGTTGAAACATTAATGTAAGCGTTTGATAATCATTGTGTCTGCTTTGCTTTGGGCAAAATTAATTAGAAAATGTTATTGGTTGTTATTATCAACTTTATGGAAAGGAGCCAGGTAAATGGAAAGGCTTGCATGAAAACTATCATTTTGGGCACGTGCCTCGGCTTTCTTAGCGTAATCCCTACACACGTAAATTTGCATAACAATAGGTAAATTCTGTATGAACACACTCATAGCCTAGCCGCTGTTTGCGCGGTGAACAACAAAATGCTGGCCAGGGCGGTATTCTTTGATCTTAAGGGCGTTCAAAAAAATGGGTAATTTACACCAACCCACATCGGTTACACAAAGAAGATTGCAATCAGTATTATGCATACATATTCAGAAAGAAATAAATTGTGTATATTGTAGTAAAGAGTTGTAATAAGTTGTATAATGTAAAAAATTACTATTATTAAATGGGTTCAAGAGTGTAGCCAATGAGAAGCCTCACAATACATGAACATCAAGTGTGCGTGCATTACTTGTTGCCATTTGCATGCACAGACATTGCATTTAGGTGATAACAACCGTCAATTTCCCGACTTTATGCTTGTAGACACATCTTATAAAACAAATAATACATGTGTTTAATTTGTGCATTAGTAATATGCACTTAAAGGTAATACAAAGTTTTGGTGTAGGGTCATGAATTTGGTTCACATGAACATATTGGAAGCATATACGATTCAACAATATTTAGTGATCGTTGTCGCGGTCGAAATCGACTATAAAGTTATGAAAATTGAATAATAAACACTTTATGTTGAATAGCTCCCTCTCAAGGTCAAGATATTAATTAAACTATAAAACAATGTTTATTGAGTAAAATCGACCGATTAGCTATTCCTGTTCGAAAATTATATACCACAACTGCATACTCTGAGATTTTCATGGTCGCAGCTACCATTGTACGGCCGTAAGAGCTATTTGAAATTTATGAAAATTTACCGGAAGCACCGGTAAATCTTTATATTCAATTTTTCTCGAAAGCAAAAGTGTTTTAGGTAGTAAAATTTCTGGTGTTATTAATACATTCACAGGGGCATCCAAATACATCAAACTTGTAAAGAATCACTATCCACCCATTTTTCAAAATTTGCCAAAACTTTGTAATACCTTTAACTGCACTTGGTTAATTCACAATGAGACGGACAATGAACTCGGCAAGTCTCGTTCATTATACTGTGACTGTGCATATTCACTAATGCACTTTTTTTCTCTTTACCTCTTCAGAGGGACTTTATTATTCCATTTATAAAAAAATAATATAGACTATTTACGAAACAAGTAAAATGAAACATGAATTATATACAAGTCATATCAATTATGATCATTGTTGGCTCAGTCAGTAGAGCGTCCGCCTCACAACCGGGAGGTCGTGGGTTCGAACCCCGCCGCGTCATACCAAAAGACGTTAAAAGATGGGAGTTGTTGCTACCTTGTTTGGCGTTCAACAATAAGGGATAGAGCAACGTCGATCTGGCGCTGCTCAGTGGCTGCCGGGCTCACGATCAATTGGGCAAAAAGAATTTCCGTTTCGGTTTAATAAAATTTGGAGTGGACTATTAGGCTATTATTATTATTATTATTATTATTAACATTTCTATTACTTTCTTAACTTTTTCATTATCGAAGTGTCTTATATTTTCCTTGTATTTCAGATAACATTTCAATATTCACTAATGTACTTGCAAACATGTATCTCGCTCTTGATTTTTTTTGTTAATGTTACACTAAGGACTAATTAAAAATGACACACATTTTCAATTAACATTACGTTGATATCCCCCATTAACCTCGGTAATCTAACATTGTTAGCTGTATTATCGTAAACAGCCTATACCATTTTGTCTTTTGAACATGATTTAGTCAATATTGTTCCAATCAGTTAAGAAATCTCATATGGTACATACCAAAGTATTTTATGGCAACTTTTAGGAGCGATATTTATTATAAAAAAGTGTCAAGAAACGGAATATAATTTAGTTGTTATGATATCATGGAACTTTTCTGAGATAACGTTAAATGTAGTCTATATTTTGACAATAAATCATCATTTCCATCTCATGCGCAGTACAAAGTTTAGAACTAAGTTTTTGACAGCCGTTACAATCATAAAAGAAGTTTGTGACAGCTGTTTTACTAACTTGAACCCTATATATCTAACTCTTAAATTAACCTAACCACAACCCCTATAGAGGTAATTAAGAGCAGGTAGATAGTCAATTACGAGATTATCTCCGTAGTTATATCCCCGTAATTATGGAACGTCAACACTGAACAACTTTATAGTTATGCTCTTTTGATGTGTTCTTCACATTATTTTGGTGTCTGTATATATTATGTGTGAAAACAGTTTTAGCTTTTAGTTTATCATGAATTTGGGAGCTTCAAATCACTTCATGATTAC